GATGTATTTCCCCACGGAAACTCGATAAACATTTTTGTTAATCCGGTGGAAGGGGGGGTTCAAACAACCCACTTACTCCCCCCGCCAGTGGGGGGCGGGGGGGGAATTCTGGGAGTTGAAGTCCACACCTCTTCAAGTTCCCAAGGTTGAGAAACACTGATATACAGGATCTTAAAGCACCATCCTGCCATTGTTGGGGCAATAAGCAAGACCTGTTTTCCTTAGTACAGTAGTTTATTCCCTCAGGAATTGGTAGCTGGATAATGCTAGAGCAGCGATTCTCAAGCATTTTGGCCTCAGGACCCCTTTACATTCTTCAAAATGATTGAGGACCCCAAAGAGCTTTGGTTTATGTGGGTTATTTCTATCAATATTTACTGCATTAGACATTAACACTGAGATATTTTAAAATATTTGAGTTTGTGGACTCCCTGAAAGGGTCTTGGGGACCCTCAGGCGTCCCCAAACCACACTTGGAGAACCGCTGTGCTAGAGGAGCTCATCGAGGACAACCCTGGAAAGAGTGAGACCATTTTTTTTTTTTTTTTGCAAATCTCCACCTTAACATGGGGAAAACATCTAAGGTGGAAATAGTTAAGGGTGGCTGTGGAGGATGGGACATCTTGCTTTTTCCGATAAATTTGATCCTCTCCCCCCCCCACCCCACCCCCAGGAGGAGCTTCAGTGAGATGTGAGAAAAATTCAGAGGAAAGAGAAATCTGTGCTGCCCACTCTTAGGGCCATCAAATAGTTTGGGAAGGAGTAATAGACAGACACATACAGTGAGTCCTTCCTGTTTGTAAAACTCAACTTTTGCTGAGCCAGCCGAGGATGAGCTGGCAAAAATATGCAAAGGCCTGTTTGTCTCTAAGTTGGTTCCTCTCCCTCCCAGGAACTGTTAGGAATGATTCAGGAAATGAATTGAAAAATTGAAAAGCAGGCATGTACAATACTCGTGGCCCAGCCACCTGAACAAATACGTTGTGGAACTGTGGAAGTTGGCCGACTAACCCTCAGAGCCTCTTTCCTTTGGGGAAAAACATTACAGCTGAGGGCCACGCTCCTCTGGGGCTGGTGGGTTTGTTCGAAATGCCGAGACATCGGGCAGGGGCTTGGCGTTTTATAAAAGGATTTTTTCCCCATGTTTTCCATCAGATAACTTCTTTTATAGGTTTTGGGAATTGTACAGTCATCATATATCTTGACTTCAGCAAAACATCTGACAAAGCAAGCTACCGTAGTGAGGACCGGATGGCTTGCTTATTTGGTGAGCGCACAGCTAGGGTTTTTGCTTTGTTTTTGACTTAATTATTATTATATACTTTTATTAGTTTTTACCAAACAACATCAGGTAACTCTGTTTTCGTAAATCCAAGATACATAGAGAGAAGAAAAAATCAAAAAGAAAAAAATATAGAAAATACAATGGAGATCTATTGCAATGTGAATCAAAGAAAAAATCAAAAAGAAAAAAATATAGAAAATACAATGGAGATCTATTGCAATGTGAATCAAAGAAAAAATCAAAAAGAAAAAAATATAGAAAATACAATGGAGATCTATTGCAATGTGAATCAAAGAAAAAATCAAAAAGAAAAAAATATAGAAAATACAATGGAGATCTATTGCAATGTGAATCAAAGAAAAAATCAAAAAGAAAAAAATATAGAAAATACAATGGAGATCTATTGCAATGTGAATCAAAGAAAAAATCAAAAAGAAAAAAATATAGAAAATACAATGGAGATCTATTGCAATGTGAATCATCTGAGTTTGGTTGTTTTCTTGCAGACGTTTCATTACCTGACTAGGTAACATCATCAGTGCTGGTGAGTGTGGGGTTTGCTTCCTGTTTATATACAGTAGCTTGCCCTGCCAGTGTTGGTGGGAGTGGGGTTTTTCTCCTTGATAGTTCCTTGGTAGTTCCTTAGTAGGACTAGCTCAGGAGGGACCCTGTGCTAGTCCCCAGGGTGTTCCTTACCCCTTTATCTTAGCTTGGTGTGTGCGTGTGTGTGTGTGCGCGCACATGCATGTGTGTACATGCAGACTGACGCATCTCCTAACAAAGCACTAGACAGTAGTTACCCAGAGCTTCATTAAATGTGTCTGGATTCCACATAATCTGTAATAATCCCAAAGCATAACTACAAATGAAAATCTTTGTCTTCACATGCCAGTTCCTTCCTCCTCCCCATTTTTTAAAAAAATTAAAACAGTCTTTTTCAAACATCTAAAATGTCAGTCTGGTTTAAACAAGGCACTAAAAGACCTAGTTGTTGCATTCACACAACATGCCAAACTTGATTAGGGTTAAACCTGGATAGGGTGGGGTTTTGGGGGGTTGGGGTGGCTTAGCATATTATGCTGAGTTCATTTGTTTACTCAATAAATAGGTTGGTTCAATAACCAGGTAGTGAGGCTGGGGGGCCCCAAAGGAGATGCCCTGGTAGACTAGTGTCTATAGGCACCACGGCAGGAACTCCTAACATAATAAGTTTTGTTTTGAAGTCGGGGGGGGGGAACCAGATGGAAAATAAAAAGTCCAGAAAAATATCTCTGGTGAAACACAGCCCTGATCTTGCAACACTTGTGGGATCCCAACGAGTTAAGCAGGAGTGAGGCTGTGGTGACACCGTTCCAGACAGGTGAAATGCAACAAGGAAGCCCAAAATAGAAAATGAAATCACCACTCAGAATTGTTGCCAAATACTTTGTAATTTTAAAGAAATGTTGTAGACCTGCTGGAATGTAGATAATTCTCAGCTAAGCATCATCGTTCTGCAATCTAGGAGGTGATTCCCAAAACTACCCCAGAAGATTTTGCTTTGGTTCTAAACCCCACGGGTAAAAGGCTGTATGGATTTCTATAGCAAGAGGAGGGGGGTGTTTCGCACATGCTCAGGAGAATGGCAAGTGGAGTCAGTGAAGCGTTCAAAGTGTTTACATCAGTAAATCCAGAAGACATTGGTTGGGATTAATGTAGCAGGAAGTTAGAAGAGTTTCTGTCTCTCCTAAGATACATGCCAAGTTCCTCTTCTGCGATAGGTTGCTTGTGAACACTGAAATATCAAAGACAAGTATATTTTTCCCTTTTGAAATTCTTACTTTTATCATATGGAAAGTGGGCCAGATTTAATTTATTCGCAGAACTAGTTCGATTGATGGACTGAAAACACGTTTCCAACATCTTTCTCTATACTCTTCAGAAGGTGCTTACTCACATTCAGTCCTTATTCCCACCTTAGATGATCCAAGGTTGAGGTGTATTCTACACTCAACCTTGAGTGTACACATACGCCTACATCAGTGTTTCCCAACCTTGGCAACTTTAAGATGTGTGGACTTCAACTCCCAGAAATGCTGGCTGGGGAATTCTGGGAGTTGAAGTCCACACATCTTAAAGTTCCCAAGGTTGAGAAACATTGACTTGCATACAATATGTGGATGATCCATCCATACCAAAAGTACGAAGTTGCCATTTTCAACATTTGGATATTGTTTCTCGGGAGAGAGTAGATTCCATTTAGGCTTCTCGTGAAAGATCGCTCTGCCAGGCTGACGCTGGAGGCTAACTCCAGCTTTAAAACCAATCCAGATTGCATCAAAGCCCTGTAGCCTGTTTCTTCTCCTCCCAGGAATGATTGCAAACGCAGCACGGGAGATATTTTTCCCGGGTGGTGCTCTCACCCTTGTAGGAGAAAATGGGGTCAGTGTGACCTTAAAACAATGCGGCAGACTGGAATGGCCACATTCCACAAAGATCGGGGTTCCTCGGCTTTTTTTTCTTCTTTCCTTTTCAAGTGGCTCAGGAGAGGGAAATTGGGGATTTGGGTCACTCCGGTGCTTTTAGCAGTGAAACTGAGTGCTGCGATCTAGTGCTGCATTGCAGGGTTGTCATAAAGCAGGGTCCCTCAACCTCAGCAACTTTCAGATGGGTGGACTTCAACTCCCAGAATTCCCCAGCCAGCATGGCTGGCTCGGGAA